AGAAAGAAAGAAAGAAAGAAAGAAAGAAAGAAAGAAAGAAAGAAAGATGGACAAATGAATGATAGGAAATAATAAGTGGCAAACTATAGAATTCTATACTCCTTTACTGTTTAATATGTTTGTAAATTATTTGATGAGACATTAGAAAATGTGATTATCCAATCTGTAGATGATGTAATAATAGTAAGGACAGCAAACATCTAAGGGGACATTATCAGGATTCAGGAAGATTTGAAAACTGGAGCAATGGGCAGAAACAAGCAAAATGAATTTTAACAGGGACAAATACAAAATCTTTCTTTGTATAGGAATAATTCAAAGGCATGAGTCTGGGATCAGAGACAAATTCATGTAGTAGTATATGTGAAAAAGATATGGGATCTTGGTAGATCATAGATGGTGTAGTTCTTTGAGGAAAATGTATCCAGCAGATCCTTAACTAAATTGTTAAGGATCTTAGAAGGGAATTATTAGAAATGTTGTTTATGATTAACTTAGTGAAGGGAAGACTCTGGGCAAGCCTCTTTAAGTTGTCAGGGAAAAAACGTGGAAGACTTTTTCAAAGAAAGGGTAATGAACGATGGGTTTATCTTACAAGGATGCAGTTTTCTGCTGAACTTCAGGAAAACTATATGAACAAAAATAGTACAGTTTCCTCAGAATGAGGATCTTTTCTGTTAAAGGTGTTCAATAGAGAATGATGGATTATTTTTTATTATTTTTCTATGCTGCCTTGTGTTTTGGTATTTATTTTTGTGGTATATATTGCAATTATTCTAATATGCTCTTTTTTAAAAAAATAAAATAAAATCAGGTCCAATAACAAATCAAAGAAACTAGTTAAAATGTATCAATTATATAAAATTATAAATTATATGAAAGAAAGACTCATTTCTACCCTTGAATAATTTAAAACAGAGATGTCATGTTAAATTTACTGAAAATAAAGTAATAAATGCAGATTATTTTTGCCCTGTCAAATCTTCCTAGCGTGGGACAAATAATCTTTCTTTTGCTATTGGAGTTACCACAAACTCAATAATTTTCATTTCTTAGCACTGAGCCCTTTCTTTTCACAGCATCAAAACCACTGCATTCCTCTGACCATTCAAACATCAGAGAAAAAGAATATGTTTATGGTACCTGAGTCCCCAGATGCTCCATTTTATTTTCAATCTAATTTGCTTGGTGCAACTCTAGATATCATAGTTTCCATTATATAGTTTAAGTCTTGTTTTTAACAACTGATATATTCTATAGATTGGGAGTATTAGCCATGGAAATGGTAATAGGACTTAAGGCTCTGCTTGCTTCTTGCCATGATTGTAAATGGGACTACTTTATTAAATATTACTACCAGTATCAAGAAAATATTTTGCAGATAAGATGTCAATTCATAAGATACAGAGGCAGATAGTTCACAATATAAGTAAATCCATGAAATGTCTGGACCCTTCATTTATAAATATGCAATCCTCTTAAATAATGATAGGTACACTCATATATAGAGTTGTTCTTTTTAATCTTTACTTTTATTTATTTATTTTTCCTTACAGATGACATTCATCGTATTTATCCTGATGTTTACACTGACTTTGGTTGCTCACAGAGAAGCAACACAAGAAATAAGAGCAAATGGTATGTCACTGAGTTTTTGAATGAATTTTTGTAGTAAATTGCAATGTATTAATTACTTGATAAGATTCCGCTTTTTCATCCAGGAACTTAAAATGACATACACAGTACACTTCATCCAATTTTTCTCCACAACAATCCAGATAGTTTTGCATGAAACTGGCTTGAAGTCACTAATAAGCTTCCATTACTAAGAATAGACTTGAATAATATCTTCTTTACCAAAACCATAACTATTAACTGTGTATGGTTATGCTATGCAGAACATAGAGTAGAGGTGGTATTCAGTTCTGGAGAACTGGTTGAGTAATTCAGAGAACCGGAAAATACCACCTCTGATTGGAGATTTTACAGTATCCTGCCCCTGCCACACCCACCAAGCCACGCCCACAGAACCGGTAGTAAAAAAAAAAAAAAAAATCGATTCCCACCACTGCCTTAGAGCACTTGAAATGCAATCCCAAAGATTTATTTTTAATACATCTTCATGGAGCACTTGATAAACCTTAAAATCCTTAGCAAAACAATCTGGATACGAGCGTCCTATGAATCATAGGGAGTATTTCAGAGGCCAATCATTCCAAATGGTGATATTGCTTATATCAATATGCCTCTTTTGAAGAAAATTTTATTTATATAGTTATAACATTTGTATAGCTGCTCATCTTAAACCCAGCTCAGGACAGCTTAGAACCAATACAAACAAATATAAAACTAGCAACAATAAATTAAAAACACAAATGCCACAACCACATTTCCCATCTTACCCCTGTCCCATTCTATTCTAGTGGAAGAGACAGGTCTTGAGAACACCAAGTTCAATTTGAAGCTGGAGGGGGGGAGTCAAAATCAACCAAGGGAACAGCTTGCCCTTAGAAGTTCTGGGAGCGCCATCACTTGAGAATTTCAAGAAGAGATTGGACTGCCATTTGTCAGAAATGGTGTAGGGTCTCCCGGTTGGGTGGGAGGTTGGACTAGATGACCTACGAGGTCCCTTCCAACTCTGATTATCTGTTATCTGTTAAAATAATCATTGTGGTACAATTGATTTAAAGTCATATTGTTCACTTCTGATCAAAGTCTGCAATAAAACAGTTTACCTCCTATGTTAGAGAAGAATTCAATAATTAATTAAAGATTCGGGAGTTTCAGTATCCAAACCCAAACTACACTAAAGTACAGTAATGGGATTCAATTTTTTTTACTACCTGTTCTGTGGGCATGGCTTGGTGGGCGTGACAGGGAAAGGATACTGTAAAATCTCCAGTCAGAAGTGGTATTTGCCACTTCTCCGAAGTACTCAAAATTTCTGCTACCGGTTATCCAGAACTGGTCAGAACCTGCTGAATACCACCTCTGCTCCAGTATAGTTGAACGATTTCTCACTGCCTGGACTTCTGAAATATCAAATACCTTTTCTATTAAATGCTGATCCAAGAACACATCATGAGTACAAGGGAAATAGATAATTTTTCAGAATAGTAGTGTTTGGTATATCAAATGTATTTGGCAATAAATAAAGAGAAGCAAATTGAATAAGATGTGGTTGCTTTCTCCTTGTTCAATAACAATAGAAATGTAGAGGAAGTTACTTTGCGTTTTAAACAGCAGTGTTTTCCAGGATGGTCTTACTCTTTTGATCAGGTTAGGCCAAGACAGAAAAGCAAAAGAAAGAAAAACATACCTCATTTTTTTCTTTTCTTTAATAAACATTGGCAACTACCACACATGGATACAGGTAGTCCTTCATTTAGCAACAGTTCAGTGTTAAAATGGCACTGAAAAAAGTAACTTACACCCCTGTCTTAGCACTTAAGAATTGTGCAGCATCCCAATGGTCACATAAACAAAATTTGGGCATTTGGCAAACTGGCATGTATTTACAGGGTTCCAGTGCCCTGGGTCATGTGATCACCATTTGTGACCTTCCCAGCTGGCTTCCAACAAACAAAGTAAATGGGAGAAGTTAGCTTTGGTTAAAAACTGGGTGATTTGCTTAACTGCAATGATTTTTTTTATCAGGCATACCGAAAGCAGTTGTTAAATCAGGTGTGACTTACTCAATAATCATCTTGCTTCACAACAGAAATTCTGGTCCCAATTATGGTCATAAGTTGAAGACTATCTGTAAGTCTATGGCAGTAACAGATTTGACAATGAGTAACTACAAGCATCACTTGTAGACATATTGCAAATATTGAATAGAATGCTCTGTTCCACAGGGGTTCAAGATAGAAATGAAACTATATGAAATGGTCATGTATATAATGTGTATGCTGTCAGTTATTTGTAACTCTGTGCCAAAAGCAAAAAATGTTATCACATAAAAGATGTACACAGGAGTTCACTATTTATATATTTAAGAAACATGTATATGTCCACTCAACTCACTTTCCATAACTCTGAGTAAGTTACAAAGATAAAAATTTAATATATTTTTAAAAAGCAATAACCCCCCAATTCCCTGATGACAACAATCAATCAAATAAGTCACTTGATGGGTCCCATCCCACTGTGGACTCCGCGGGCCCGTTGGCAAAACCAGGTCTTCAGGGTCTTGTGAAAGAGTGCCAGATTGAAAACCAATCTTATTTCTGTGGGATGTTTCACAGGAAAAGAGCCACCACAGAGAAGGCCCTTCTTGGACCAGTTATAGATGTACCTCCTCCTGTTAGATGTACCTCCAATATGGGGGATATTAAATATTAATTTTGTATCCATGTCAAGTTTTCTTCCAGGCCAGAGACAGAAACAGAGACTTACCAAAACTGCATATTTTATTAGATTCTTCTGAAGCCTTTTGTTCATGGTCTCACTATGACAGCTACTTAAGGGCGAGCACTGTTTTGATTTGCATGTGGTGCAATCTTTACTTTTTTAAACTAAATGCTGTAATGTAAGGATGTGTTAGCATTTTCAAGGTACAAGAAACCAGGCCTGTCCTTTTTGGGTTTTACAACTTAACAATTTTATGATGTTCAGAGTGCTTTGCAGAATCCCAGTGGTCTTCAGATAATACAGCACATCCTGAAAAACGGACGCTCAACTGCGACAAATCTGAAAGTCAGCATGGATCGGTTTATTGGAAGAAAGGCCCAAAATGGGTAGGAAATGGCAGGAATTTGACAATAAGAGTCAGAGGGACTCCAGATGCTGGCAATTATACCTGTTGGAGTAGCACCACACATGAGCTTCTGAGTTTCAGAGTTGTTTACATTACTAAGAAGAATGAACAAGGAGAAATAGATGAACCAATTCTCAAGAAATGTAAGCTTCTGAGCAGTATAGTTACTGTGTACTGTTTCTTCATTTTAAAATATAATTTTATTGAAGACTTTTAACAAGATAAAAGTAATACAAATGTTATTCTCTTTTAACTTATATAGCATTATACAAAGTTTCCTCCTATTCGAACAATGTTTTCCTACTATTCCAATAATATGTTATATTCAAAATTCTTAGCATACAATTTTTTCATTTATTCATCTGCAAGACTTTTGGCAATTACTTGTTCATCCTTTGTATATAATTCAGTTTCAAATTCTGTCTTTTTATACTCACTTTCAACTGTGGTGTTATCTATCTTGAATCTTTATCTTAGTTGTGCATACAAAAAGTAGTAAAAATGAAATACTTATGCAACCAATTGTTCTCTTGGTTTCATCTTATATTCTCCATGTTCTTGTTCAAACAACTCTTACTAAGTTAATCATTTCTCTTTAGCTTCTGTTTCTTTCCTATAAAATGCTTCTGTGCTGAGACACATAAAGGTATTTTTGGGCACTTGATACCGTGGAGTCCTTCTAATAGTTCTTTCTCAGTTTAGAGATACTGTCAGTGAAATTTATCCTAGCAGTTCCAAGTTTTCAGGGTTTTGAAGTGATTTAGCAGAAAAACCCAAAATGTTATCCAGAAATCCCCTAAAAGTGTTCAGGATTTTTTCAGATTCCATCAAACAATCTGATAGATTTCCTACTTCTACAGAGTTGAATAAGTTATGAGAGCTAAATTTCAAAATGAATGGATCCAATGATTACAGATGAGCTAGATTACAATACTCTGTCTAACCCACTTACTTGACCAAGAGTACTTCCACACTGCATTTTTAAGATCATCCTGCCCCATTCTCATGCTGACTGATCTAAGCTATGAAGCCACTTTAAGAAAATTATGTCCAGTTCAAGATACTGGACAATTCCACAGCTGTTATGCCATTCTTTTTTCTCTCACTAGACATGCATCAATTCCAGTGGTGGGATTCATTTTTTTTTACTACCAGTTCTGTGGGCATGGCTTAGTGGGCATGGCAGGGGAAGGATACTGTAAAATCTCCAGTCAGGGGTGGTATTTGCCAGTTCTCCAAACTACTCAAAATTTCAGCTATCGGTTCTCCAGAACTGGTCAGAACCTGCTGGATACCACTTCTGATCAATTCATATTATATTTGAAAAAACTGCAATACAAAGTTAACAAAGTTAAAGCATCAATATACAGGTACAACAATCAGGTTTAAAGTAAATGTTCCTTTCTTCCATTTTCCCTGTTGGGCTCCAAAATCAATGCTGCAGTTGTTATTATTACTGATGTTCCACTAATAACATTTGCCTGACATAAAAAAATCATTTATGAAAAACCTAGGAATTATTTTTTTAAGAATATTTTTTCTTTCCCAGAGTCAACTACTTTAATGTGTTTTTTCTTCTTCTTTCTTTTCCCAAGTTCATTGGTATATCATTTCATCATTTTTTTTACAATTTGTAAGGAAGAAGGGTATCACTCTGGCTCCTAAATAGCCCAGCATGTTAAAAAAAAAAAAAAAGAAACATTCTAGCATTTGAATAATGCACTGGTCAACTTATTAAAAAAAACCAATGGTGGTATAAAGTGAGGACAAGTAGCAGGTGGCATTGTCTGTTCTTGTTCCATAGATCTGATCAATGATCCATACTCACAATAACTTGGCACGTGGTTATTTCCCAAATTAAGATGTTCAGAAACAGCTATATGGACTTGATAGGTGTCATCAAGCTGTGACAGTTAGGAAACAGCTTCAGTATGAGAATTGAAATTCCCCAAACTATATTTAATCCAACAGCGTTAGCTAAGGAAACAGATGCTCTGTATACCTTGTAGAACCCCAAAACTATCCAATAGTGAGCCATTATATACAGGCCCTTGACACTAGCATTTGCTAGCACAAGAATCCTAAATGAGGGGTGCAATCAAGAATCGGATGCTATGTATCATGGGCAGAACTTTAGAGACAGAAAGCCTTGTCCTAAATGCCCATGTCCTTTTGCCAATTTTCCCACCTCTCCAAAAAAAATTATTAATCAGTTCCTTTCTGGAAAGAGAGAAGCAGTTTTCTTCCCTGAAGAAAGAGAATGAAAAGGATTGCTTCCCTCACTGCTTCCTTCACATGGACAAATGCAACTTATTTCTCAACACACAAACAGCTAGGTTGTTTATATTTCTTTACTTGTTTGTGGAAAGGGAATAGCATTAAGGAGTGGGAATGGGAAGGGGTTTTTTTTATAAACAAGAATGTATTTTGGAATATTGTTTAGACTGGTAATAGTATTTCCATTGTAGATGAATAAGAAAAATTATCATCAACAAGAGTAAGGCATGGCCAGACTTCTTCCTGCCTTTGCACAGGGCAAAAGTATATAAATTTAATAAATAAATAAGTAACATAGAATTCAGATGATTGGAAAGAGAATAGCATGAACATTCAGAAAAAAACTTGATAATTCTTTTTTGTGTGTGTATGTATTTAGAATTATAATGTACATTGTACCATAATATAATTTATTCGCAAAATAATTTTTAACATTTTTTTATTCACCTTGATGCTTTCAATGCCCTGAAAATGCCCTGCATTAAATCATAAATTAGAAATAATCTAATATATATAGCTCTAAAATATGCTGCATTTAAGGCCATTTTATTTTTGCCCTCTAGATCCAGAGAAAAATGCCTACTTCTACTGTGAAGCAAATAATTATTCGGGGAACTTCACATGCTTTTGGAAAGTGCACAGTCAAAATCCAAACCTAAAATTTTGGATTGGAGATGAAAATCAAATGAAGTAAGTCATTTAATGTATTATTATATTGCACATATAATTGTTAACTGCAGGTTAAAAGGAAGGTCAAGAATCGGGCATGGATACATGGATTATATGCATCTTGCAAATATTCTCAGATCAGAAAGCTGTTTGTGAAGGAGGGACAAGTGATGAAGCCTGAACTGTGTCATAAACTCTTAAGTACTTTTATGTGATTTGCAGTGCCAAAATGATGGAGCATTGTCATAGTACAATTTTCATCCTTTTGAAACTTCATTAGAATTAGTAATAGCAATAGCACTTAGACTTATATACCGCTTTATAATGCTTTACAGCCCTCTTTAAGCAGTTTACAGAGTTAGCATATTGCCCCCAATACTCTGGATCCTCATTTTATCTACCCTGGAAGGATGGAAGGCTGAGTCAACTTTGAACCTGTGGTATTCGAACTGCCAAATTGCAGGCAGCTGGTAGTCAGCAGATGTGGCCTGCACTACAGCACTCTTATGTGCTTTAGAATGGTCTCAATTAAGTTCAATAAAATCAATTTGGTTAATGAAGAAGAATACATAGTAAAGCATTGTATATGAAATGTTCTTTAGGAGATGACTGAGCCAATAATGCAACGGCTGATAGCATTGGGCTTGTTATACTGTCTAAGCTAGGGCAAAGTGAATGTTCATGATTTTTACAAGGTGTAGTTTTTATCTACCGTTAAAATTATCTAATCCATGAAAACTAATCTACTGTTAAAATTATCTAATCCATGAAAACTAATTGTGGGATAGAGCTATTAAATTATCTGATCCCATGAGAGAATTCAGGGTAACTAACAATACTACTACTAACACTAATACAAGGGTAACCTTCTAGAACATATTTTCTGAAGTCTATATTTATTTATTTTCATTGCTGATGTTTAAAATCTGATAATTAGTCAAGGTTTTTTTTAAAAAAGAAGAGGCAGAAATCCTGACTCAGTTGGATCTTGGTTTTAAATGCAGGTCTGCATCAGGAAGAGTAATTTGTGACATTAATTCTGAGAAAACAAACACGGAATATTCAGCTTCCTGCAGAAGAGAAAATCCCTGTTCATATACTGAGGAGTATGAACAAATTGAATTGTCACTTCATGTTTGTTTGACTGATGTATTTGTCCATGAAAAACATAACAGAAGTTTCTTCATCAAGGACATCTGTAAGTCATGTAAAATACTTCATTTTGTCAATTCAACCGGCTGAGAGAACAAACAAAAAATAACAATTTCCATGTACAGAAATAATTTCCCCTTTTGGCTGCAAAATATAATATGGACAGTAGAGGGCAACATAAGCTTGTTTGTGAGTCTTTTCCCAATGAAAATTTGAGTGGCTTTTTTGAAATCAAAACAATTTGCAGGACAAGAATAAAAAATGCACTTATCCAAATCAGGATTTTCTAATAGTAATCTCATTTCAGGGATGATGCCTGCCCATCAGGCTTACAATGTCTTTGATTCTTCATATAGTTCAAATCCAAGTCTTGAAAGTTGAGTTTGACTTCTATAACTTCATGATCACATTCAAATAGTTTCTTGGCAACTGTCTGGAAGTGATTTGCTATTGCCTTTCTTTTCCTAATTGGCATTCTGATTAGTCTCCTATTGGGTACTAATCAGTTAGTCAGTTACTTAATTGTTTTTACTACCTGCCAAGGTGAGCACAGACCACCTGGCTAATTTTCGAAGAGATTTGACACCATTTACACTTATTATGATCAAAGAGCATAAATTTTTAAGCACAGTATGTAATCTGGGTAAGCTCCCTCTGAATGTACTGTAAGTCCCTTAACCTGATCATTAGCCATGCTGTTTGGTGCTTCTGGGAATTGTAGCCTAGAATATTTAGAGGTCCACAAATGTGATAATTCTGATATAGGCTACCCAGATTATCATACAAAAACTATACTGTAGGCTTCAAGGAAACTTATATGTCAGCACAAGAAGAACTTTGACTTGGCAGTTTTCTCCCATAATAAAAGAGCAAACAGCTAATATTCAATCACATTGCAGCCTTAAAAAATGTGACCCTTCTAAGCTCATTAAAAATGACAGATATTAACAGTATGCAATAATTTAAAAGTCTAACTAAAATAAATAGAGTTACATATAATATTCATTTACTTGTCTCATGCAGTAAAGCCGGATGTTTCTCCGTGCCAGGTTACCAGAAATGGCACATTGATTTTGTTACATCCTGCAACCTGGAGCACCCCAGTTTCTTACTTTGGGCTTACTTACCAGATCAAAACGGTTTTCAATAATAATGAAGAGGTAATTTTTTTTAAGCACGTGTACTTTCTTTGAATATATTTTAAGACACACAGCTGCAGAACTATGGCAATAATGAGAACAGGAAGTAAGATGAACTAGAAGCAGACAATCTGGTGTCGGCAGTTCTGCTCTCCAACAGAAGTTTGGATACAAATCCCTGAAATATAGAACTTTAACCAAATTGGTTGAAAATGAAGTAATTCAAAATCTGTGACGAGTATCAAGTTGTCTATCTCTATTTATCTCATATATTTTTGGGTGAATTAATAGAAATAGAATACTTTATTGGCCTGGTGTTATTAGACACAGAAGCAGGGGTGGGATTCAGCTGATTCGGGTCAGTTTGGGTGAACCGGATGTTAAATTTACATCTGGTTCATTGAACCAGTAGTTGAACTGACCGGCTGGCCCATTCCACCCTAGCCCATTCCTTCCAGGAATCTCCATACGGCCCATTTTAGATGCAGGTAAGTACAGGGTCCACCTGGAGGCTCTGGGAAGGCGAAAAACGGCCCTCCCGGAAGTTCTGGAAGTCCAGAACCAGGCCTGTTTCTGGCTTCTGGTGGTCCTCTGGAGCCCAGGGAGGCCATTTTTGCCCACCCAAGGGAAGCTTCCGGACTCTGGGGAAGGAGAAAAATGGCCCTCCCAGAAGTTCTGGTAGGCCATGCCCATCATGGCGATGCCTACCCAGCAACTGGGCAGAGAACCAGTTGTTGGGATTTTTGAATCCCACCGTAGCACACAAGACACACAGTGTTATTAGACACATCTTCTCTAGTTCAAAAGCTTTCAGTGTGCATGCAAAGCAACAGAGTAATAATCATAATAATGATACGTATAAGAGGGGTAGTAAAAAAGATAAGAATAATAATAGCAGCCATATAACAATGGGTAAATATACTTAGGCTTAAGACAGTACTATGAGAATAAGCTGTTCAGCAGAATGATAGCACAAGGGAATTGTCTCAGTGCCTATACAATTGCCTATAGTAGCATTCCGAAATGTATTTTCTGGATTAAATCAAGGATCCAGATTTTTAGGAATGTTGCTTCCTGTTCCTTTCCTGTACAGATACATCTGGAACACTTGGGAGGCAGTGATCTTTTTTCATCTGCTCCATAGCAGAAGACATTAACTCTGAATAGTGAAGGTTGGGAAATGTCAATGATTCAGTTTCTAGTGCCTGATATAAAATCTCATGAATTTTCAGCCAATTCAGTTTTAGCACTTTTCATATATATATATTTAATGGGCATAATGAAAATCTGGAAAGATCATTTATAGGAAGCAGTGGTCTGCGGAGTAAGATATTGAACTGAGATCAAGGAGACCTAGGCTCAAATCCTCATGTTATGATAGAACCCACTAGGTTGAACCAGTCACATTTTCTCAACTGAACCTGATAGCAATAGCATTTAGACTTATATACCGCTTCAATGCTTTACAGACTTCTCTAAGTGGTTTATAAAGTCAGCATATTTCCCCCGACAATCTGGGTCCTCGTTTTACCCACCTCGGAAGGATGGAAGGCTGAATCAACCTTGAGCCTGGTGAAATTCGAACTGCCAAATTTCAGGCAGCTGGCAGTCAGCAGAAGTAGCCTGCAGTACTGCACTCTAACCACTGTAGCTCTAGGTTTGATAGATTCGTTATGAAAACAGAATGAGGGGGGAATTATAATTGTCTTTTTTTTTTTACTCCTAAAACAAGGACAAGATTCACACACAATTAGTGGTGGGATTCAAATTGTTTTACTACCAGTTCTGTGGGCGTGGGTTGGTGGGCATGACAAGGGAAGGATACTGTACAGGTAGTGTTTGCCAGTTCTCTGAACTATTCAAAATTTCCGCTACTGGTTCTCCAGAACTGGTCAGAACCTGCTGAATACCACCCCTGCACGTAATCAGAATTGAACTGAATTGACTTCAACATCCCCATCCTTGTCTATCTTAATTTAGGAGAATTGACACATCCTTTCTGGAAACTCTATGCCTTTTGGGCTTTTGTGCTTGGTAAATGAACTTACAATGCATTAAATGGAATTTTATTCCATTTTATTATAAATTTAATTTTATTCTCAGATTTCTGAAGTTGATCATTCATTATTACTTCAACATGGAGACATCATGACCATTACTAAGAAACTGTGTCGCTTTTCTGGTTACCGCTGCTTAATTCGATCCCGGGATCATTACAACAGCCATTCTGATTGGAGCAATTGGTCAAATTGCAGGTATGAATAAATAGAACTCATTTTTAGTGGTCAGCAGCATGAGTTTATATTGGATTTTTTTTACAGTCACTTTATATTATTTGTAAAACCTGACTATTTCTTTTAGGCAGAAAAAATATGTGTTGCACACAATAGATTATTCGAGATAAACCTTAGTATACAAATGTTCTGATTCCTAATTTACCTACTTGCACATATTAATTAATATTTTTTTAAAAACCCAATAATTTTTATTGATAGTTCTATGAGAAGCAATGCAGCCACATGATGTTGCTATCATTGTTCATAACATACGATAAACAAAATTGCTATTTTGCTAGTTTTGCCTAAGAAATCAGGAGCCAGAGTGGTTCAAATGAATACAGGTTTATTGCATGTTAGCACTCTTTACAAGAATCTGAACTAAATGGCGATACATAAGCGTCAATGGAATTCAAGGTGGGCTGGACTTAGATCTCTTATGGGAATGAAGGGACTCAAGACTGATGACACACTTGACCCCTCCCTCAGCCTCAACCTAGTCATCTCCTACAATCTGACTATATGCTGTTCCACCACCGTCTCCTTCTGAAGTTTCATTTTTTCCCCATAATTAATATATTCAGTCTACTAAAACTTTTGCTTTTATGCTTCATTTTCTGCAGAGCAGAAAATTTTGAGGAGTTACTAGCTTTCCTCCACTCTTTTAAAAAAATATTGAGAAAGAAAGTTAACACAACAGAGCTTCTCTGAAATCTTAAATTAATTAACTTACATTGCTGAATGTTGAAAGTTGAAATAAGATTGTGAAGCACAAACCATTTATTTCTTTGTCCTCTCTGGTCAAGCAGATTTTTCAGGCCACTGGATATTTCAAATATGTGGAAAAATGTTTAAATGTTTAATGAGAGGGAGGGGGGAGGAATGAATATTGCAAGCAATAACAATTCTGCAATACAATATTTAACTCCCCTGGTTTGTTTGTTTTCTTCCTCCCATACTGTGTTCAAAAAGTAGAACCATGGGTGAAAGTCATGCCAGTGAACAGCCTTTGAGCTTATTGATTCTTTCCTCTTACTTTTAAATAAGGGTTAAGCAAAAGCAAGCTGAAGTAAGAAGTTATGCACAGTTCATTATTTCACTTTACTTAATTATCAAATTGCCAGTTCCAAATTGTGGTCATTAGATGAGGATTTCCTGTGCTTTACTGAAAGCCAGTTTTGTGTCATGATTAAGGCACTTAACTAGACTCTAGAGAACTTCAAGTCTTGCCTTAAGCATAAAACCAGCTGGATGATTGTGTGCCAGTCAATCATTGTCAGCCCTAGGAAGTAGGCAATGGCAAACCACTTCTGACATCTTACCAAGAAAACTGCAGGGACTAGTCCAGGCAATCACCAGAATCAACAATGCCTCCAAAACATCAGTCCCTCAAAAAGTATTTTAAAATAAAAATAGTGATATATATATTGCAGACTACTACCCTTTCTGTTCAAAAGGATTGGGGGGAAATTCAGACAAGAAAGTGATTGTTTAGAGATAATATGAATAGAATAAAAAATTGAGCCAAATTCTCCAAGTGGACTTGCTAGAGATAACAACTCTCTGTCTAGAGATAAAGCCAAGAGATGTGGTGCTCAAGATGCAATAATTTAAATTCCATTATTTCTCTTTCCATTTTACTTTAGATACCGGATCAACTAGACATCCTACGAATGTCCTGTAGAATCAACCAGACAATTGCATCCATGAGATGAGAAGGAAGTAAAAATGCAGGTGTCAGAACTGAAAATAACCACCTGCTGAAGTTTTGTTATACTTATTTATAGATTGTTGTAATTGTTATTATATATTTATACAGGACTTTTAAAATTGATGCTTTTAGAATTCCTATTTCCCTAAGAAAGGGGGAAATTGGACTGCAGGTCATGCCTTTTATATTCTATAATTGGTTAAATAAAGTAAATTGAAGACTTACAAGTAAAATTTTAAAAGCAAAAACATGATGGTGAAGAATGTAAGATCTGAGCTGATCACTGTTCTTGTGTTCTTTGATGTATATTTGGGGGAGATTATATGTATGTATATGTAGAAGTCTCCCCTCTACACTTTCAAAAGCTGAAGACAATCTGGGATGAACCTTGATTTACAAGCCTCCACTTATTGTATCAGCTTTCTTTATCTAGAAGCCTGTGCCCAATATTGGGACAATAGCTCAAAGAATTCCCAGCTAGGAAGATGAAAAAGTTGTAAGCCCATGCAATATAAATTGAGAATTTTGTTAAAATTCAATTTACTGGAATCTGTAGGAGAAAATTTTTAAAGAAAAAAATGTGATTTTGTTTTTATGTAACATTATTTATAATATTTTAAAGTCCTGTGGTAATTGAGTTGATATATTTACTGTGTATTTATCTGAATTGGTGGTGGAAATTAAATTTGCCTCCCTCATTCTTGGTTTTCCATAAGTTTTAAATACTGAATTGTTTAGAGGAATCTGTGGAGGATGAATTGATAACATTGGTTTGTTATTGTTGTTATTGATGCTTTATTTTATTTTATTGTATTGTATTATTTAAAATATATATTATGAATATTTGACTATGCTTGATTGTATTTTACTGCATTTTAAATGCCATGTGGGTATAGTTAATCACTGAGAGTAATTACAACCATCACTTTGGGTAGTGGGGTGGAAGGAAGGAAGGAAGGAAGGAAGGAAGGAAGGAAGGAAGGAAGGAAGGAAGGAAGGAAGGAAGGAAGGAAGGAAGGAAGGAAGGAAGTTTATAAAATGAAAAATACATAATATAATGGCACAATTAATAGTGGATCCCTCATAAAATGAATTAGTAATGCTAATTCATCTACAACATTGTTATAATTAATTTACTGATATATTGATTGTTGTCATAGGCTCTGCAGTAAGATATTTATTTCTTATTCTCTGCAGTTCCATGCTCAAATTTTGTTGAATAGACTTTATATCAGGATTGTAAGATATTCATTATTGACATTTCAGCTTCTAAATTAAAACTGAAGAGGTGTGTCAACCCTTCCTTTACAGAACACCTAAAGAACAACTAGTGTATTGTATTTACAAACCACAAATGTAGCTGTAAAACAGAAATGTGATGTATAGTAAAAGTAGCCTTAAACAAAACATTTTCAATACTAGTACAGTTAACTGTTGCTATTTTGTAGGCATTATAAAAACTATGAATTACTATATGGGACTTTGGAATCAGAGTCTTCTGTCCGATTCATGGAGCAGAAGCCTATAAAAGAATGTACACTGCTCAAAATATAAAGGGAACACTTAAACAACACAATGTAACTCCAAGTCAATCACACTTCTGTGAAATCAAACTGTCCACTTCAGTAGCAACACTGACTGACAATCAATTTCACATGCTGTTGTGCACATGGAATAGACAACAGGTGGAAAGCAGAGGCAGCTAGCAAGACATCCCCAATAAAGGAGTGGTTCTGCAGGTGGTGACTACAGACCACTTCTCAGTTCCTATGCTTTCTGGCTGATGGTTTGATCACTTTTGAATGCTGGTGGTGCTTTCACTTTAGTGGTAGCATGAGACGGAGTCTACAACCCACACAAGTGGCTCAGGTAGTGCAGCTCATCCAGGATGGCACGTCAATGCGAGCTGTGGCAAGAAGGTTTGCTGTGTCTGTCAGCATAGTGTCCAGAGCATGGAGGTGCTACCAGGAGACAGGCCAGTACATCAGGAGATGTGGAGGAGGCTGTAGGAGGGCAACAATCCAGCATCAGAACCACTACCTCCACCTTTGTACAAGGAGGGACAGGAGGAGCACTGCCAGAACTCTGCAAAATGACCTCCAACGGGCCACAAATGTGCATGTGGCTGCTCAAATGGTCAGAAACAGACTCCATGAGGGTGGTATGAGGGCCTGACATCCACAGGTGGGGGTTGTGCTTACAGCCCAACACCATGCAGGACGTTTGGCATTTGCCAGAGAACACCAAGATTGGCAAATTCACCACTGATGCCCTGTGCTCTTCACAGATGAAAGCAGGTTCACACTGAGCACATGTGACAGACATGACAGGGTCTGGAGATACCATGGAGAACATTCTGCTGCCTGCAACATCCTCCAGCATGACCGTTTTGGCAGTGGGTCAGTAATGGTGTGGGGTGGCATTTCTTTAGGGGGCCGCACAGCCCACCATGTGCTCGCCAGAGGTAGCCTGACTGCCATTAGGTACCGAAATGAGATCCTCAGACCCCTTGTAAGACCATATGCTGGTGCGGTTGGCCCTGGGTTCCTCCTAATGCAAGACAATGCTAGACCTCATGTGGCTGGAGTTCCTGCAAGATGAAAGCATTGATGCTATGGACTGGCCCGCCCGTTCCCCACACATGAATCCAATTGGGGTTAGACTGGTTTGACGCTTTAGGGCTTAAAGTGACAGGTATACATTGCACTCAAAACCAAGATATTGAGACACTGCTAGCTGAATTTAAGGACGTTTTCAACAACCAGTTAGGCCATTATATAGGCACCCCAATTTCTTTTGCGCTATACCCAGCAGTAACTCCTATCAGATTAAAACCCCGACATGTCCCTTTTGCATTAAAATCAAAAGTGGATGCAGAAATTGATAAGTTGATCTCCCAAGGGGTCCTGGAGCCTGTAGATTATGCAATATGGGAAACCCCTATAGTGACCCCTCTTAAACATGACAGCTCTATCAGATTATGCATGGACAATAAGAGCACATTAAATAAGGCTTTGCGCACTAACGCTTATCCTGTGCCTGTAATTTCAACATCTCCTCCATTCAATGGAAAAGGGCATCATATTTGCTAAGCTTGACATGGCTCAAGCATTTCAACAGCTGCCTGTCACAAACCATTGTAACACATAGGGGAGCGTTTAAGTGTAAACATTTGCAGTTTGGGGTATCTATGGCTCCTGGTATATTCCAATGCCTATGGAACTATTGCTGCAAGGTATCCCTGGCGTTATACCATGTTTTGATGATGTCATCATTTCAGCACAAAACAAGCAAGACCTCCTGCAGCTCCTTAGATAAGTCATCACTTGCTTCCAGACCTCAGGACTCAAATTAAAAAGAGATAAATCCCAAGTGGATTTCCTGGGCTACTGCATTGATGCCCAAGGGATTCACCCTACAGACTCTAAAGTTACAGCCATAAAAAAAGCACCTGTTCCTACCAACAAAAAGGAGCTGCAGACCTTTTTAGGTCTCCTAAATTTCTATGCCTCATTTCTTCCGCACAAGGCTTCTATTGCAGAACCACTTCACAGATTATCAGACTCTCAAGCTCAATGGTCGTGGGGAAAATCACAACAGGATTCTTTTGACGCTATCAAGGCGATGCTTTCTTCTGACAGCGTATTGATGCAATTTAATAACCAATTGCCTTTGATCCTATGTTGTGATGCATCTCCTTATGGTATAGGTTCTGTCTTAGCTCACATATTGCCTAGTGGAGTGGAAGCCCCTATAGCTTATTTTTCAAGGACTATGTCAGCAGCAGAAAGAAATTATTCTCAAATTGATAAGGAGGCTTTGGCAGCTGTTGCCTCTGTTAAACGATTCCATGAATTCCTCTATGGCCATCACTTCCATTTAATAACGGACCACAAACCTCTCCTGGGTATTCTGGCTGGCGACTGACAAAGTCCCCCTATTTTGTCCCCTAGGATGACCCGCTGGGCATTATTCTTGGCCGCATACTCCTATACCTTGCAATACAGGGCCGGAAAGCACCTTGAACATGCAGACGCATTGAGCCGTTGCCCCTTGCCAGACAAAATTATAGACCCTGCCCCTTCCTCATCTATACTACTAATTGATGATCATCAATTACCTATTACAGCCGCAGATGTTGCAAAAGCCTCCTCTAATGATATAATTTTCTTATAGGTATTAGACTGGGTGATAAGGGGGTGGCCAGAGCAGGCTGTAGATGCCCAATTTATGCCATTCAGAGCAAAGCAGCATGAATTATCCACCCAATAGGGTTGCCTACTGTGGGGAGGTAGAGTAGTAGTTCCCAATATCCTCAGACCTAAGATTTTAAACACCTTGCATGAGGGCCATCCAGGAATAGCCCATATGAAGGCTTTAGCTCAGAGCTATGTTTGGTGGCCTGACATAGACTCTGATATTGCCACAAGAGTTAGGGCATATCATACATGCCAAACATCTACAACAGCACCTCCAGCCACTACTTCTTAGTCTGCTAAATTGCCATGGGTAAGGGTCCATATTGACCTGGCTGGGCCATTTCAGGGTCGCACCTTCCTTATCATTGTGGACTCATATTCGAAGTGGGTAGAGTTGGTCCTCATGAAGTCTACCACATCAGAGATGATCATCAAGGTGTTAGATCACCTTTTTGCAACCCATGGTTTTCCTAACATCCTAGTGTCGGATAACGATCCACAGTTTACAACAGTGAACTTTGAATTATTCTTGGCACGCTGGGACATAAGGCACATCCTTGTCTCCCCTTACCACCCAGCATCTAATGGTCAAGCAGAGAGGGCTGTGAGGGCCACCGAGGAAGTGCTGGGGTGATTAGAGGGTGAGGACTGGCACTCTAAGTTGGCAAAGTACCTGCTAATGCAACACGTTACCCCCAGCACAGTGACCAATTGTTCCCCAGCGGAGTTATTAATGGGCCGAAAGTTAAGGA